TCAGACTTTTCTTTCTGAGGTATAGCATGAAAATTAGGTTCTTGATGAGAGCCATGATAATTCTTTCTGGCTAGGCTGCATGATTTCTAGCAGAAATATCATGTTGTTTTGTTGACTGAAGGGAGAAGCTAAGTGGTGGAAGAAGACAGGAAGCAGAATGAGGGGATGAGTGCTGCAAGATGTCATCCTGTGAGATTCGGCATCTCATCATGCTACTTCAAAAATGAGTGTCTTTTTCCATAATTCTTTTTGTTTAAAGAGAGAGAGAGAGAGAGAGAGAGAGAGAGAGAGAGAGAATTTTTTAATATTTATTTTTTAGTTTTTGGTGGACACAACATCTTTATTTTATTTTTATGTGGTGCTGAGGATCGAACCCAGCGCCCCATGCATGCCAGGCGAGTGCACTACTACTTGAGCCACATCCCCAGCCCTTTCCATAATTCTTAACATGTTATCCAGCTCCGGGGAGAGCTTTGGAGATTAGCCTACTAGTGTATCTTGCTGCTGTGTACAATGTGGGAACATGGCTTAAGAATGCATCCACTTTTGTGCTTTTTTTTTTTTTTTTAGAGGGGGTAGATTGGACTCAGGGGCACTCAACCACTGAGCCACATCCCCACCCCTATTTTGTATTTTATTTAGAGACAAGGTCTTACTTGGTTACTTAGTGCCTGGCTATTTGCTGAGGCTGGCTTTGAACTCGCAATTGTCCTGCTTCAGCCTCCTGAGCTGCTGGGATTATAGGCTTGCGCCACCATGCCCGGCTGCATCCACTTTTATAAGGATAAATAGGGGTTACTTTGAATTCAGAGAATATACAAAGACTAAGTATATTTTGGGAGTAAATTTACATTTACAGTAAGAATTTTAATTACTTTAGCTAAGTAATTTTGAAAGATATCTTTTTAGTTATAGTGAGCTAAGTAATTTTGAAAGATATCTTTTTAGTTTATAGCATCTTTATTTTTTGGAAGATATCTTTTGATTGACTCAAATGTGTCTGACTCAAGACCATATAAAATAGCATAGTATTTGCATATAATGGATGCATATTCTCCCACATACTTTAAATCATTTCTAGATCACTTACACAATATAATGCAGTGCAAATGCTATGTAAATAGTTGTATTTTTAAGGAAATAATGGCGAAAGTTTATATATGTTCAGTATATGTGCAATTTTCTCCAAATACTTTCCATCTGTGGTTGGTTGAATCCAAAGATAGGTAACCCATAAATACAGGATTCCAATAATTGATTGAGATGATGTGCAGTTAAACTCTACCCTAGCTGTGGTTCTCCATAATGGCTAACATGAGAATTACCTGGAGCATTCCAAAATTTCTGATACCTGGTTTGCACCTCAGACTAATCAAATCAGAATCTCTGGGAGTGGTACCCAGCAATCAGTACTTTTAAAACTTCTGATAATTTGGATTTATATTCAAGGTGAGAATAAATTTGGGAATAAGTTTGAGTTTACAGTAAGTAAAATGTTCTCTGCCCCAGACTATTCTTACTCCTTGTGCCTTGATCTCTTTTATGGGTACAATTTGAAGATCCATGGCGAAGTTCCTTTCCCCTGGGGAATTTCCTGTTGTCTTTCCTTAAACTTTTCAAGAACCTAAGTCCCATTGTGTAATTTAACTCTAGACATCCCCACTGTCTTAAAAAGTATTCCTGAACTTTCTAGTCAAACACAGGGCAGGAAGGAGGGACATGCACAGCAACCTTTGACTTATGCTTCTCTTAAAACATTTTGCACTATGATTAGTTATTTGGAAACAAATAGCTCTGATGTGGCAGCATCTGAGATATGACAGCACAATTTCATCATAAAATGAAATTAGGAGCACTTGTGTGTTTCTCTCTGGGTTTTTAGAGGTGGAGTCTTGGGGGCCTAGATCTTCAGCCACCACTCCCTGGTACAGCACTGGGAAGATATTAACATTTGGGCTGGTAGCACTTGAGTAGGTTAGTGCATGGTTCCCACTTGCCTGGGATTTCAGAATGAGGGCTTCTGTGATTGGGTTAAAAGTGTTCCCCAGGAGGCTGTCATTGCAAATGGGATCATTTTTTCCCCAGCTTGCTCTAATATAGGTCAGTCTTCCTCCTCATTGTATTATTTAAGGAGCATGAATCTTGAACCAGGATTTTTATTGTTCAGACTGTTTACCTTTCCTACCAGTCCCTTTCTCAACCCAGTCTTTTGCATCTGGTTGCTCTAGCCAAGTGCATATGGATTTTTTTTTCTCTGTTTTTTTTTTTCCCTCCTGTCTTTGTCCTTCATGTATATTGGCATGCCAAGTGGATGCTGCCTCTATTTCTCTCCATCTCAATGAATGATGCTACCACCCAACCCCAATGTGTGTCTGTTGTCTCTCCCCTGCCCCTCTATAGCAAACTCCTAATTGTTCTTCCATTTCTTTTCACACCCATTTCCCCATTGTTGCTCCTGCTTCAAATGTTTCACTAGCTTTTTGCACTTAGGATAAAAAGCAGACGCCTGCCGTGGCCAGCATACCCTGGCTCTTGTCTCCTGTAACATCATCTCTTGATACTCTCCATCTACTGTAGCTGTTATTTGCCTTGACAGTGGCCTGTGAACACTTATTTACTTCTTCCAAGAAGCTCTTATAATTTGATGCCTGGGAAATACTCCCTGAACTTAATAGCATAATGATATCATAATAATAACACTCTCTGCCACTTATTGAATGTTTTCTGTAACCCAGACAGTGTGCTAAGTGCTCCACAGACATTATCTTATCATGAAATTAGATGCAACAAGCTTGTGAAGTCGGTGTCTGTCTTCCCAATTTTTGGAGAGGAAACTGGGGCAGAGAATTGGAGTGACTTGCCTAGGTTCATACTGTTAGCATGTAGGGGAGCCTGACTGGAAGCCTGACTATCTGATTCTAAATTAGCTGTTTGGTTCTGAAATGTCAGAAGTATTTTATTACCATTAAACTTGCAATGATTTCATGGTTCTTGGAGGACAGTCTTTGAGCAAGCTCTAGAAGAAATCTCTCATTGAATTTGGAAGGAAACTTTAAAATATAAGTTAATTACTTTATTGGAGACAACAAACTTCTCAATATTTTATGTCTTACTGACAATAAGAGACAGGAGGGTGTGAAAGTTGCAAATAAACTCTGTAATCAAACAGATGGCATTTAATCTCAGCATCTGCCATTCATTCATCTAGATCTCGTCATATGTGCTAGCTAGACAATGTTCTTGGCACTTGAGGTACATCAGTGCTCGATCCATTGGGATGATTTAAAACTTTGTTTCTATCAGCTGTTTTGGTCTTGGAGGCTCACTATAGCGTTATTATTCTTTTATTGAATTCACTATGAATCTGTGCCATCTTGGACCCCAACCAAATGGGGTATGTTTGAGCTAGTCTTGTGACATGTCCCTTAAGGACACTCTTACAGGAAGGTTCTAGTGTAGTTTGCTTTCTTCCTTCCTCCCTTTCTCCTTTTCTTCCAATTAAAATGAAACATTAAATTTAACTTTATTAGATGTAATAAACTCAGGGACTTTATATTCTAATAGGGGTAGCACAATAAACATAATAAATGAGTAAATTACATTATACTTCAGAAGATGGAAAGTACTTTGTGGGGGTGTATAATAAGATCAGGATGGGGAGATATGGAGCACAAGAGCAATTGCAGCATTAAACAGGCGGTCAGTGAGGTGGGTCTTAATGAAAAGGTCCAGACTAGAAGGAGGTGAAGAAATTAGCCAGGGAAGGAAGAGGAAGGAAGAGCAGAACAGGAGGAGAGAGGGCCTAGTGCCCAGGCCTAAGGTAGAGCATGCATGCCCATTTCAAAGTGGCCATTTTGGATGGAGAGGATTGAGAAAGGGTGGGACTAGATGAGGTCAGGGAAGTTCCACATATTTCATTGGTGACAATGAAGAGAACTGACATTTTTAAAAACACTTAGCAGGATCCTGCCTAGTCACAGAGCCCTGCCTACCTCTTTGAGCAGTATGTCCTGCTGTTCCCCCCTGCAGACACTTGGCTGCATTTCTAACAAGGGAGTTCCTTAAAGAATCACCAATGTTCAGGCTGTTTTAAGCTTTTTACTTTTGCACACATCTAAAATGCCCTTCCCTTTCCCATTTTTATTGACACACTCTTTCAAGATG